GTGTAGAAATAAAGAGAGAAGCAAAAGCATTCCCTGTTTAAAAAAAAAAAAATTAGTTTTTTAGAGGCATGTTTTTAGCCTAATGAAAATGTACAGATATTAAAATGCAATTTTGTATTTGTCTTCATGAGAAGTTATGTTTGGAACCAGAGTGACTTGGAAAAACTAGCAATGATGGCCTTTTGCATTAAAGACTTAAAGAACTGAGTACAGCTGACATACAAAGTATGTAACTCTTAAAAAACTTCTTACTGAAAATAAAAATATCACATACTTGGCTATTAGCAAGATGAAATTGCTAATAACCATCAGAACTTTTAAAAGACTAACTGGGACATACTTTTATAATGCATATCAGATTTCTTATGCCCAGTAGAAAAACTTTATCTGTTCTTTTAGTGAAACTTCCTTTATTATGAGTTATCACTTGATAAAACTTTATTTCCAGATTCACGTAGAATCATATATTCTATTAGCAAGAAAAGGGGGAGGAAAAGGTCATCTGAAGTGAGATTTGATGGTTATTAGTCTGGCTTTCCTCATTACCATGTATCTGGGCCAGCATAAAGGAAAGTATTCACATTTCTTTTCTTTGGTTATTATGTTGTTCCTTTCAAGATGGAGGTTAAAAGGGATAGTGCCCAGTGCTCTGCAGTGTGTTCTCTTTGCAAGCTACCACCTGCTTAAGACTGTCTAAAACCATTTTGTTTTTACTTCAAGCAGATGTTTAAGACTTCAGCTTCACAAAAGACAAACCATGAAATCTAAGTTTCATTATAAAACATGTATTTACCTCAGTTGATCTTTATCTTGTTTTCAAAACTTTTATCCTTTACTGTAATCTTACTGGACTATATGGTTCTATAACTCTTCTTCCTGTTTTCAGGCTTGTTGCTTTTGTTAGTCCATGGACTTCCTTCTTTCTTCAAATATGTAAAGATCTCTTGCACTGGTTAAGAGTGGGTTCTAGAGCTCTACTGCCTGGCTTGCATCTTGGCTTGGCCACTTAACCATCTTTGTGATAGTCAAGACGGTAACCATCTTGAGCAAATTTTGTAACTCCTCTGCTTTAGTTTCTTCATCTGTAAAATGAGAACCCTATCTATGTCATAGGGTTGGTGTGTGGATTAAATGAATTAATACTTTGAAGTACATAAAAGAGTGTGCAGCACAGGTAAACATTCAGTAAATGTTACTATGATAATCATCATTATCTTTTTTCTCTTCCTCCTCATCTCCCATACTTGGTCACTAAGATCTGTCTGTCTTTTCTTTTTCCCCTCCCCTCCCCTCCCTTCCCCTCCTCTCCCCTCTCCTTTCCCTTCCCCTTCCTCTCTCCTCCCCTTTCCTCTCCCCTTTCCCTTTTCTTCCTTCTTCCTTACCCCTTCCCTTCCCTTCCACTCTTCCCTCTCCCCCCTTATCCATTCCTTCCCCTCCTCTCCCCTCCCTCTTCCCTTCCTTCCCCTTATCCATTCCTTCCCTCCTCTCCCCTCCCTCTTCCCTTCCTTCCCCTTATCCATTCCTTCCCCTCCTCTCCCCTCCCTCTTCCCTTTCTTCTTCCCTTCTCTGAGAGTAAAGCAGTGTTGAAAATTTGAGATGCCATTCAGGTTTGAGATAGACCAGGTCAGATCCAGATGTACCAGGTGGGTTTTAAGGTTCCACTTGGACAGGCTAGAGAACATACTGATGATTAGGGAGCTGGTTAGGTTTAGATCAAGAATAGGTGCTGAAACAATCTGCATCGGAGTCTTAGGCACTTGGAGATTTGGTACATAATGGAATAAAGAGGTCCCATGATTAGGTCCCCCTCTTCCTTTTTTGTATCTACTGGTCACTTTCTGTGACTACAGATTAATTTTCATTTTCTGAGATTTTATTTAAATAGAGTCACATAGACTTAACTCTTTGTGTCTGACTTCTCCAATTCAGCTTATTTATTTTTGCCTTTTAAAAAAACATAATGATTTTACATGTCGATAGCTTGTTCCTTTTTTTTTTTGAGACAGAGCCTCAAGCCGTCCCCCTGGGTAGAGTGCTGTGGCATCACAGCTCACAGCAACCTCCAACTCCTGGGTTCAAGTGAGCCTCCTGCCTCAGCCTCCCAAGTAGCTGGGACCACCGGTGCCCGCCACAATGCCTGGCTATTTTTTGGTTCCAGCCGTTGTTGTTTGGTGGGCCTGGGCTGGATTCGAACCCACCAGCTCAGGTGTATGTGGCTGGTGCCTTAGCTGCTTGAGCCACAGGCGCCGAGCCAGCTTGTTCCTTTTTATTGATGAAGAATATTCTGTTGCATGGCTATACCTTAGTTTGTTTATACATTTACCTTTAGAGTGGCATTTGATTTTCTCAATAAGTTTTAGCTGTTGCAAATAAAACTGCTGTGAACATTTGTGTACAGATTTTTGTGTGGACATATTCTTTCTTCTTGAAGTACATAAAAGAGTGCCCAACACAGGTAAACATTCAGTAAATGTTACTATGATTATTATGATTATCCCTTTCCTCTTCCTCATCTTCCATACTTGGAGCAGAATGTCTGGATCATATGATAGGAGTATGCATAACTTTCTAAGAAATTGTCAAACTTTTTCCCAAAGTGGTGGTATCATTTTACATTTCCATAAGCACAGTATGAGTCTTAATTCTTTCACATCCTTGCCACACTTGCTATGGGCACTGTTTTTAATTTTAGCTGTTTTTTATTGGGTATTCATGGTATCTCCATGTAGTTTTAATTTGCCTTTCCCAGGTGAATAAATGAGGTGGAGCATCGCTCTGTGTGTTTATGTGCTATCGCAACATATTCTTTGATGAAGAACCTGTTCATATCTTTTCTTATTTACAAAAAGTCAATTATGGTTAAAGACATATAAAAGTTACCATCTTAAACATCTTTAGTGTACAGTACAGCAGTGGTTAGTGTACATGGGTCATTATGAAAGTTTTGAGATATACAAAAATCAAGAAATGTGCAGATGGAAACAAAAGGAGCCCTTCCAGCAACGCTGATAAGCCCAGCAAGTTGAAACTTGCATGGGTGAATCAGAAAGGACACTGTCGACTGTGTTTCTTGGAAGTGAAATAGTCGAGCATAACACAGTCTGTCTCAGCTTTCACAGTGACCTACATATTCTTGTTGTGCAACCAATCTTCAGAATCTTTTTAGCTTACAAAATGGTTGCCTATGTTTGTTAAAAATTGGGGTATTTGTTTTCTTACTGAATTTTGAGATTTCTAAATATGTAGTTGTAAATTCTTTATCAGATATATGCTTGACAAATATTTCCTTCTACTCTGTTTTGTCTTTTCTACTTACTGTGCATCTTCAACTTATTGTATATCAGTCACAAAGAATGATTTATTCTGTATTAATTGGCAAGTTGTTACAAATTAGGGTTTTATACATGGTTTGTTGATTGTCTACACTTAAGAAGGTAATGAGAAAATGTTGATAATACACAGTAAATTCAGAACTATGTTCTGTCCTTGCTGGTGGGAATATAAAGGGCTACAGCCACTCCGGAAAGCAGTGTCAGTTCCTCAGAAAATAAACATGCAACAACTAACTATACAAGCCAGCAGGTATACTCTTGGACAGCAGTTCTCAACCTTGGGTTGTGACCCACAGGAACTATATTAAAGGGTTGTGGTATTAGGAAGGGTGAGCACGACTGCTCTTGGACATTTGTGTCAGATAAAGGAAAATTTATATTCACACAAAAATCTGTACATAATTGTTCATAGGAGCTTTATTCATAATACGCCAAAAAGCAAAATGAAATGGACACAAATCCCTGGAAACACCAGATGCCCTTCAACAAGTGAACGGGCAAACAAACTGCAGTACATCCATACCATGGACTCCCACTCAGCAGTGAAAAGCAGCAAACTGTTGATAGAGGGTATAGTTCATGCATGAATTGCAAAGGATTTATGCTCAATGAAGTGAAGCCAATCTCAAAAGGTTAAAAAAAAAACCCAAACAAAATTATGTTGTGTTTATAGGCTTAATATGGTACAAAAAATTCTAACATTTGAAAACTGTAATCAGCAAAGAAGTTATTCCTGTCTTGGATGAGTGTGTAAAGTTGAGACACGTGTCTTTGTTCCACTCTTTTGTCATTTTGGGACTACTGTTTGGTTATAGGAGTTCAGCAAAAATTCATCGTCCATGTTACGAAATGACAGTGACAAGTGTGTGGAATTTACGATAAAGAACAGTATTATATATTTTACCATTGTTTATAAATCACCATACATATTTTTTATCTCAATAAAATTTTATAATAAGCCTATGTACATATGTATAAGCATACAGTTTTTTTCTGCAGAGCCAGTTGCTAAAGCATTTCCTTATTAGCATGACCATAATGCTAATAAGGAAACACTAAAGGAAATAACTCTAAACTCATGTAGTTAGAATGAGTCAAGAAAGAAAAATGAAATCAGGAAAGTCATTCCCTAAGTAATAAGAGAATTAACTAAATGCTCAGCCCAGAGGATGAAAGGGAAGAGTAGTATGGGGAGAAAAATGAGAGGCACAACACAGAGAAGAATAATTCCCTTATCACTTAAAGTCAGGGAAGCGAGTTGTTAGTTGTAGGATATTTGTTTTGTCTGATTTGACTTCTTGATCTTATCCTTGGTCTATAATAGTTTGTTACTCATATATCTGCCCTGTGACATACAGATGCTAAAAAAACCAAACCTCATAGTGTTACACTAGCAACTGCAAGTAAGCCTTCAATGCTTCCAAATTTAATTGTCCTTCAGACCAAAACAAATTACAAAATATTTTTAAAATTTAAAATCGGAACCCAGTATACAACAATTTTATGTTCTGTATTACCTTCTAGAAGTTGCATCATTACCTACCTTGCTTTTTAATCTATACACAATTCTTTTATGTTCACCTTAGTTAATATATTTCTTTCAAATGTTTTTCATAATACTTTGATTTTGAGCTTGATGATTGAATTTAAAAATGTTTTGTTTTGTAGCCATGCAGGATATACGTACTGTGGGTCTTGTGCTGCCCATGCTTACAAGCAAGTGGATCCATCTATTACGTAAGTAATATAGTTTAGAATCTTAGGAATTAATTGCTTTGTCTTAGAAGTAATTAGTTTATCATTCTTATTGTTTTAATGTACTCACTGCGTTAAGAATTTGACTTCTGGTGAATGTTTTAAAACAATAACTGAGAAAATGACATGAAGGCTCTGTTGACCAGTTTGATGGAAGTATTTCGGATTGCATGTGAAAACCCCACACTGTACCCCAGAAGTGCATTAATGTACATAGTTACCATTCAATTAAAAAAAAAAAAGAATTTGACTTTTGGCTCCGCGCCTATAGCTCAGAGGCTATAGGTTCGAATCTGGCCTGGGCCTGCCAACAACAATGACAATTACAACGCCCCCCCCCCAAAAAAAAACCCCAAAACAAAAAACAGTAGCCAGGCGTTGTGGCAGGTGCCTGTAGTCCCAGCTACCTGGGAGGCAAGAGAATCACTTAAATCCATGAGTTTGAGGTTGCTGTGAGCTGTGATGCCATAGCACTGTACCCTGGGTGACATAGTGAGACTTTGTCTCAAAAAAAAAAAAAAGAATTTGACTTTTATGAATTTCATTATATCTTATATAGTTTAGGAAAACTTTAATACTTTTTCTTTGTCTGAACATTTTCCCCCTAACCTTCAGTTGGTGAAATGTTTAGTTTTTAAACTATTTTTTTTTTTTTTTGGAGACAGAGCCTCAAGCTGAGCCCCTGGGTAGAGTGCCCTGGCTTCAGTGCTCACAGCAACCTCCAACTCCTGGGCTCAAGCGAGTCTCCTGCCTCAGCCTCCCAAGTAGCTGGGATTAGAGGCGCCCACCACAACGCCCAGCTATTTTTTGGTTGCAGCCATCATTGTTGTTTGGCAGGCCGGGGCTGGATTTGAACCCGCCACCTTAGGTGTATGCGGCTGGTGCCTTAGCTGCTTGAGCCACAGGCGCCGAGCCTAGTTTTTAAACTATTAAGTTAAATATTTTGGTTTTTAATTTTTCTTTGAAAATCCAAAGATGGGCATTTTGAAGAAAAAATGCAAATCCCTTTGATGTATTTTAATCACTTTGTAGTTTAAAATTCTTTGTAGTGGCCAGGCTCAGTGGCTTACACCTATAATCCTAGCACTCTCAGAGGCTGAGGCTGGTGTATCACTTGAACTCAGAAGTTTGATACCAGACTGAGCAAGAGTGAGACCCCATGTCTACTAAAAGTAGAAAAAATTAGCTAGGCATTGTAGTGGGCACCTGTAGTCCCAGCTAATTGGGAAGCTGAGGCAAGAGGATGTCTTGAGCCCAAGAGTTTGAGGTTGCTGTGAGCTGTGATGATGCCATAGCACTCAACCCCAGGGCAACAGAGTGATCTCTGTTTAAAAAAAAAATTCTTTATTGTACTTGTAAAATTGTGGTTATTAAAAGAGAATAATTTCTCATTGACAGGATAAGGTACTTCAAATATTTTAGAATCTGATAGTGAATTTAATATGGTTTTTGAAGTATATTAACTCTTAATAATTAATTGACATTTCTGAAATTTGCTTAAAAACAAAACTTTCTGTGAAGTTGAGAATTAATTAAGTAGTATACTATTCTTTAAAATAAGAAACTTGTTAATTTTCAAGAGCTTCTGCTAGAAATGGCTACCCAGATTATTTAGTCTGCTGACTAGCATTTTATTCACGTGGTTAATTCACTGTAGTCTGCATTGTCACTTGTACAAACTATCACATTAATTCTGTTGAATGTTGATTGTTAAGTAAATAGAGGATGAAACATAGTTATCCAAAAGCAGTGGCTCAGAGCAGCCATGAATTTAGAAAGAAAATGTTCCCGTTCCTCACATAGCCTTTGAGCAGTTTGTTCAAATCTTTAAAACACAAAGCCACTCTTAAATTTGTATGTAGTGTTATTTGAATATTGTTATCATACTTTTGTTGAAAAGTATGTTTAGCAAGTGTTTAATATTTAATAATACATTGATGATATTGTCAAGTTAATATGGTTCTGGTTAGCTCTGTCTCATTTATGACATTTTGAGGAGTGTCTTTAACAAATAGTTCTTGATACATACTTAATATATAATTTTAACTACTTTATTTCATGAATAAAAGCAAATTACATTTGACTTGGCCTATTTCATAACAGTCTTTTCCAAACCTGTCTTTCTTTGGCAGAAGTTTTATTGATAATGTCATGTGCGGGAGGGTATCCCAGAATTAAATTTGACTTAGGAATGTGTAGAGAGCTATAGAGTCAATGTTAATAAATGTGGTAACTAAATAAAAAAAAATTATTTGACACATGTTACATAAATTGATGGAAATTGAGAATGGAAGAGAAAAATGAAAAGGGAAGTAAAAGGAAAGAGAGCAAAGGACTAAGAAGGAAGAGGAAGGTGAAAAAATATTAATAAAGAGACAAAGGATTGGTGATGAGGTGGTCAGATTATTTTTGTAATAGCATATAATAATTCAATTAGGATTAAATACATTTGGCAGTCTAAATGTGTAACTAATAATTGATAGTCATTGTTGGATTTTCTTGCAAGTGGTCTTCCTTGAAAATTGCAGTGTCTCTAGAGTGATTTGAGAAAGCAGAGTAAGAACATCCTTTTTGGGAACTATGAAAGGGCTAGAGAGTCCCAGAAAGAAGATTAAAATCTGTACCATCAGTTTTCATTCTTTACGTTAATCCATTTTCTATATTTCAACAAAAACCATCTTTTGAAAGTGTACATGTTACTTTCTAGAACTTAAAAGTGGTGGGGTACAAATAATGGTTTTAAAAAGCCATTATGAATAAGGCAAAAAATTATTCTGAAATTGATGATAAGAGTGCTCAAATAGGTTTGAAGTCTCTACAAACACCATCCACCAATTAAATACTGTTGTATAAAGATACTCACTCACTGGAGAGGAATTTTGAGTAATAGCTAATTAGGAACACTGTGTCTAGATGCTTATGAGGTATTGTTGGGGAGATTCTAAAAAGCATTAGAATTATAATTAGAAAGATTAAATTACATGAATAATAACTCCTATGTCACATCTATCCAATACAAACAAAAGAATGGGAAAAATACTTGTTAAAAAATGACAACTAAGGTTTCAGTCAATTGTCAACTATATAATCTTAAAAAAAGACAAAGGATTAAAATTATCAAAAAACAGTAAGAAAAATCTAATTAGAAAGCTGAAGTAAAGCTGAAATTACAAAAAAAGGGAATAATTAATAAAAGATAAATGGAAATGTGTTTACTTCTCTATTAAAAATTAGAAATAAAAACAGTACTGAGGGGCTCCCGTAGTTCAGTGGTTAGTGCACTGGCCACATGCCCCGGGGCTGGTGGGTTCAAACCCAGCCTGAGCCTACTAAACAGGCAGACAAAAAATAGCCTGCACTGTGGTGGGTGCCTGTAGTCCCAGCTACTCGGGAGGCTGAGTTAAGAGAATCACTTGAGCCCAAGAGTTTGAGGTTGGTGTGGGCTTTACTGAGGGTGACAAAGTGAGACTCTGTCTCAAAACAAAAAAACAGTACTGAGGTATCAATTTAAAGGAACGATTTGAAGACAATACAGTTTTGTAATTTTTATAATCCAGGACTGGCTACAGACATCCTCAAAGTATGGCCTGTGGGCCACATGTGCCCCACCAAGGACATTTATCCAGCCTGCCAGGTGTTTTTGCTGCCGCTGCCTGTCCTGCTTAGCAGCCGACTCATCCTGGGGCTCGTAGCCTGGCCCTCTGATGGTCTGAGGGACAGTGAACTAGCCCCCTGTTTAAAAAGTTTGAGGACCCATGGTAGAATGTATGAGATTATTTTTCTTGACAGAGTCTCACTCTATTGCCCTGGGTAGAGTGCTGTGACATCATCATAGCTCACAGCAACCTCAGAACTCTTGGGCTTAAGTCCATGCCTGGCCTATGAAGTTAATTTTCAAAAACAATATCGCCATAACACTTTAGGAAAGCAATTTGTATTTAATTTATATTAGGAGTCATAAATATTTGTATTTGCTGCCTTAGATGTTTAGGTTCTGAGACTCTATCCTAATAGGTCCCTAAGTGGGATAAGTTTAATGTGTTAAAATTTTCACAGTAGCATTATTTTTTAGTGTCTAAATCTAAATTTCTTTCTTTCTCTTTTGAGACAGGGTCTTACTCTGTGATGTGGGCTAGAGTACCGTGACACTCACTGCTACTTTTAACTGCTGGGCCTAAGTGGTCCTTCTGCCTCAGCTTCTTGAGTAGCTAGGACTATAGGTGTACACTATGATACCTAGCTGTTTTAAAATATATTTTGTAGAGATGGGTCTGTCTGTGTTGCCTAGGCTGGTCTTGAACTCCTGGCCTCAAGCCATACTCCTGTCTCAACCTCCCAAAGTGCTAGGATTATAGGCATGAGCAACTATGCCTGGTCAAAAGAGTCTGAATTTCTAATAGTGAATTAATTAATTAAATATGAGGCTTTACTCAATGGAATGTTATGTAGCTATTCAAAATAGTGGTTATAAAGGCTTTGTAGTTATTTGTAAGATATTTATAGCAAGTACAAAAAAAAGGGTATATAATTGTGCAAAATGGAGACAAAAGAGTATGTGGTTATGAGGTAAAATAAAGTATTGTAACAAAAGTCTAAAATAACAAAACAACAATACTTGTATGTGGATAGTAATATTTTATGTCTCTTTTTGTGTATGAAAAATAGTTGTATTTTTTTATGGCAAAAAATGTAAAATTTAAAATTGTGCAAAAATGATTATAAATCAAGGACTGAGAAAATAGTTTCTTTGATTTTTTTTTTTTTTTTTTGCAGTTTTTGGCCAGGCCTCCAGCATGTGGGGCTGGCACCCTACTCCTTTGAACCACACGTGTCGCCCAGTTCTTTTGATTTTTTTAATATGACTGGTCAGGTCTTAACAGGATTTTTCTTTTTATAGTAACCAATAAAGCCTGTAATTTATGGGGTACGAGAGGAAGATTTTAAGGTGATAACCATCATGTTTGCAAACAGACTTGCCTGTT